TGACAGCTCCGTCCTGCAGGGGCGCTGCTCTGACGTGTTGACAGCTCCGTCCTGCAGGGGGCGCTGCTCTGACGTGTTGACAGCTCCGTCCTGCAGGGGGCGCTGCTCTGACGTGTTGACAGCTCTTACGTTGAATGACATGTCTCTGACGGCCCGTACACACAGCAGCTTTTGGCGATTTGTCCACCGCTTCCAGCGCGTCTCCGCCCATTGACTTTGAATGGGGATGACGTCACTTTCCCTCGCTTGTCGCCGAACTGCATTGTGGGGGGGCGAGGCGAAGATTTCCAGGATTTCCAGGATTTTCAGGATTTCAAAGTTGAGCAATGTTCAACTTTTGAGGCTGAGCTGGAAGCGACAGCCAATCAAATCCCGTTTATGCAAATCTGACAGTTCAAGCGCTAGCCAATCAAACCGCGTGCAAGCTGGGAGAGCCAGACTGTTCATTCTATATTCCTAACAAAAATGGAGGAGAAGTTAGTTTTTGCGGTAGCAAATCACCCGGTTCTTTATGACCAGTCCCTATTTACTTACCGGGATACAAACCGGAGGAACCAGGCATGGAGGGAGGTGGCAGAGGCAGTGGGTGAAACTGGTAGGTTTTCGCTTGTTTGGGGATTTTATATCCAGTTTACTTCGTTGCTAGTTTACTTCGTTGCTAGCAAGCATAGACAGTATCATTAGCCAGCATGGAATGTAGCATACAATAGCACCATAAACATTAATCTCATAAATGTTAAAAGAAATAGTGGAGAAGAACCGGGGTTTTTTGCTTTGTATGTCGGGGGCGGGAGATTCATGTGATTGGTTGTTGGTCGCGAAATCCCCAAGCTTTCAGACACGCCCAGCTCCAAGATTTTCAAGATTTTTGAAAAGCTGCTGTGTGGACGTACCGTTATTGGACTCACCAGCTTGGGGCGAAGTGTCTTCAGGAACACAGCGACATGCTGCCTGCAGGGGGATCGAACCAGCGCTCCCCTGATCCCACTGAGCCACACCCTCCCTCCCTACTGTGACCTGTCTGTCTCTACTGGGACCTGTCTGTCTCTACTGGGACCTGTCTGTCTCTACTGGGACATGTCTCTACTGGGACATGTCTGTCTCTACTGGGACCTGTCTGTCTCTACTGGGACATGTCTGGCTCTACTGGGACCTGTCTGTCTCTACTGGGACCTGTCTGTCTCTACTGGGACATGTCTCTCTCTACTGGGACATGTCTCTCTCTACTGGGACATGTCTCTCTCTACTGGGACATGTCTCTACTGGGACATGTCTCTCTCTACTGGGACCTGTCTGTCTCTACTGGGACATGTCTCTACTGGGACATGTCTCTACTGGGACCTGTCTGTCTCTACTGGGACCTGTCTGTCTCTACTGGGACATTTCTCTACTGGGACCTGTCTGTCTCTACTGGGACATGTCTGTCTCTACTGGGACCTGTCTGTCTCTACTTGGACCTGTCTGTCTCTACTGGGACATGTCTGTCTCTACTGGGACCTGTCTGTCTCTACTGGGACCTGTCTGTCTCTACTGGGACATGTCTGTCTCTACTGGGACCTGTCTGTCTTTCCTGGGACATGTCTGTCTCTACTGGGACCTGTCTGTCTCTACTGGGACATGTCTGTCTCCACTGGTACCTGTCTGTCTCTACTGGGACCTGTCTGTCTCTCCTGGGACCTGTCTGTCTCTACTGGGACATGTCTGTCTCTACTGGGACATGTCTGTCTCTACTGGGACATGTCTCTACTGGGACATGTCTGTCTCTACTGGGACATGTCTGTCTCTACTGGGACATGTCTGTCTCTACTGGGACCTGTCTGTCTCTACTGGGACATGTCTGTCTCTACTGGGACCTGTCTGTCTCTACTGGGACATGTCCGTCTCTACTGGGACCTGTCCGTCTCTACTGGGACCTGTCCGTCTCTACTGGGACCTGTCCGTCTCTCCTGGGACCTGTCTGTCTCTACTGGGACCTGTCTGTCTCTCCTGGGACCTGTCTGTCTCTACTGGGACATGTCTGTCTCTACTGGGACATGTCTGTCTCTACTGGGACCTGTCCGTCTCTACTGGGACATGTCCGTCTCTCCTGGGACCTGTCCGTCTCTCCTGGGACCTGTCTGTCTCTACTGGGACCTGTCCGTCTCTACTGGGACCTGTCCGTCTCTACTGGGACCTGTCCGTCTCTACTGGGACATGTCTGTCTCTACTGGGACATGTCTGTCTCTACTGGGACCTGTCCGTCTCTACTGGGACATGTCTGTCTCTACTGGGACCTGTCTGTCTCTACTGGGACATGTCTGTCTCTACTGGGACCTGTCCGTCTCTACTGGGACCTGTCTGTCTCTACTGGGACATGTCTCTACTGGGACATGTCTCTACTGGGACATGTCTCTACTGGGACCTGTCTCCATGCTCTAATGTTCAGAAAGCTCTTTATTGTTCTCACCCTGCCTGAGCTGCAACTCCTCTTTTCACCCTCTGTCTGAAACCAGAGCTGCTCTGAGAAAAAAGGAAATTTTGAGAAAAACGGACATCTTGAAAATTCCAATAAAGAGGAAAAAGTGAATTAGTGAGAAAGGTTGTAATCATGATGAAATAAAGAGTCTTTGATTTCAGATTGGAGAAAATATAAATCTAAGGTTTTTAATGTCATTTATTTCTGTTGTTATTTGTATTATGTTTTTTAATGATATGGTCATGATGATCTTAAACGCTGTGTCGCCTCGCCAGCAGGGGGCGCCCTGCTCTCACTCATATCACTGCAGAGCCACGCCTCGCCAGCAGGGGGCGCCCTGCTCTCACTCATATCACTGCAGAGCCACGCCTCGCCAGCAGGAGGCGCCCTGCTCTCACTCATATCACTGCAGAGCCACGCCTCGCCAGCAGGGGGCGCCCTGCTCTCACTCATATCACTGCAGAGCCACGCCTCGCCAGCAGGGGGCGCCCTGCTCTCACTCATATCACTGCAGAGCCACGCCTCGCCAGCAGGGGGCGCCCTGCTCTCACTCATATCACTGCAGAGCCACGCCTCGCCAGCAGGGGGCGCCCTGCTCTCACTCATATCACTGCAGAGCCACGCCTCGCCAGCAGGAGGCGCCCTGCTCTCACTCATATCACTGCAGAGCCACGCCTCGCCAGCAGGGGGCGCCCTGCTCTCACTCATATCACTGCAGAGCCATGCCTCGCCAGCAGGGGGCGCCCTGCTCTCACTCATATCACTGCATAGTCCACGCCTCGCCAGCAGGAGGCGCCCTGCTCGCCACTCATATCACTGCAGAGCCACGCCTCGCCAGCAGGGGGGCGCCCTGCTCACTCATATCACTGAAGAGCCATGCCTCGCCAGCAGGGGGCGCCCTGCTCTCACTCATATCACTGCAGAGCCACGCCTCGCCAGCAGGAGGCGCCCTGCTCTCACTCATATCACTGCAGAGCCACGCCTCGCCAGCAGGGGGCGCCCTGCTCACTCATATCACTGAAGAGCCACGCCTCGCCAGCAGGGGGCGCCCCTGCTCTCACTCATATCACTGCAGAGGCCATGACTCGTCCAGCAGGGGGCAGCCCTTGCTCTCACTCATATCACTGAGAGCCATGCCTCGCCAGCAGGGGGCGCCCTGCTCTCACTCATATCACTGCAGAGCCATGCCTCGCCAGCAGGGGCGCCCTGCTCTCACTCATATCACTGCAGAGCCATGCCTCGCCAGCAGGGGGCGCCCTGCTCTCACTCATATCACTGCAGAGCCATGCCTCGCCAGCAGGGGGCGCCCTGCTCTCACTCATATCACTGCAGAGCCATGCCTCGCCAGCAGGGGGCGCCCTGCTCTCACTCATATCACTGCAGAGCCATGCCTCGCCAGCAGGGGGCGCCCTGCTCTCACTCATATCACTGCAGAGCCACGCCTCGCCAGCAGGGGGCGCCCTGCTCTCACTCATATCACTGCAGAGCCACGCCTCGCCAGCAGGGGGCGCCCTGCTCTCACTCATATCACTGCAGAGCCATGCCTCGCCAGCAGGGGGCGCCCTGCTCTCACTCATATCACTGCAGAGCCATGCCTCGCCAGCAGGGGGCGCCCTGCTCTCACTCATATCACTGCAGAGCCATGCCTCGCCAGCAGGGGGCGCCCTGCTCTCACTCATATCACTGCAGAGCCACGCCTCGCCAGCAGGGGGCGCCCTGCTCTCACTCATATCACTGCAGAGCCATGCCGAGGGGCTCAAAGCAGACACCGCGTGAAGGCTCAAACTGACTCTATTTGAAGAACTGAAACATAAACAATGTCTTAATTTAAAATAATAATAATGCATTTTAAATAATAAAATATATTTGTTATGTGTTGTGGTTTGAATGAGTTGCTATAATAAAGATGTGACACATGTAGAGCTGCTGCAGATGGTGATGAAGAGGAGGAGGAGGAGGCTGCTCTTCCTCCTCCTCCTCTTCCTCCTCAGGGCGGGGCTTCTCTCGGCTCCATCCTCTCACGGACCCCAGGATCAGCTCCTCTCTGGCGGCGGCGCGCAGCCGGAGCGCGGCCTCTTTTCCTCCAGCGAGCAGCAGCATCTCACGAGCAGCAGCTTTCATACCCGCGAGGCGAGCAGCTGATGAAGAGGAGGGTGAGGAGGTGAGGAAGAGGCTCGGCGGCGGGTAGCTGCGGACTCATCGCCATTGTTTGGATGCGGAGAGAGAGAAAAGGACCCGGATGAGAGACAGCATGCCCCCCCCACTGCTGATAACCCTGCTCTGTCTGCAGCTTCTG